ACACTAATATTTTGACAATTATAAACTCTTCACAGTTTTATCAATATTCCTTGGCCTGTTGGCGTTCAGCTGCGCGGCCAGCCTCTACTTGGACGAGGTCTCCACGACTACCGTGCCGGCCACCTGCTTATTTGAGGACGAGATGTGGGGCGCTGAAGATATGCGCAAGTTCTACTTCTGTTGGGACAATGTGCCGATAGAATCGGAATGCGATGTGGGCTATTACTTTGTGAAGAATGCCACCGATTACGGCTGCTTGCCGGCAAAGCTAATGAATCCCGAGTGTGTCAACCTGGACGTAACTGTCGGCCCCTGCACGGGCAACAATTTGCTGCAGCCGCAGGTCAGCGAAGTTCTAACCGATTTCTGGCTTTGCCCCGAAGAAGGTGCCGATCCCGTACAGCTGACGTGCCCGGAGAACAAGGTGTTCGTTAAGCAGGATGGCTACCTGGGCTGCTTCGATTGGCAGACATATCGTTCGGTGCGCGGCTGTCCGGCCCAATAGAAGCTTATCTGACGTCGATCCATGCTGCTCGTCAAGCGTTTTTAATTGTATAGCCATTCTATTTTTTTCTTGAAAGCGACCTTATCGTGATTAAATACTACTAACTTGAATGGAAATTCTTAATTTTAAGTTGATTACAAAATAATTAAGCGTACCACTGATAAGATACAGCGATCATTTAACGCAGCTCGATAAGGGTAGCACTAACCAACCAAAAACGAAACAATAGAAAATGAAATTTCCGGGCAAGAGCTAAATTACATGGGGACCAGACCACAATGCAGGAGGTTTAAATGAAAGCTTTTTGCAAGAAAAATTGCAAACTGAAGCGCAAACACATTTGTGGCACATGTGTGTGTGAGTGTGTGCGTGCGTGAATGCCATGTGAGCTAGCAGAAAAAAAGAGAGAGAGAGAGAGAGAAAAAAAAACAATTGTCACCGCACATTTGAACCTCAACAAAACAACACGAAATGGCAAATTGCAGAGCAGAGAACTAAGGGAAGCGGTCAACCTGTCTCGGTCAGCAAACATATGTATGTCTGAAATAAAATACAATTGTTGTTGTATTTGTCCACTGTGTGTGTGTGTGTGTGAGTGTGTGTCAACTTTCAGTGAGCTCAAAATGAGTTTTAACTTGGACATTGAAGCGCATTAGTTTTGTTAGATTTATTTAGACTGTTTCTGCTTGAAATGGGAAATAATATTTTGTGGAAATGCCAGCAAGGTGAGTAATATTTGTTGTTGATTCTGAACAAAAAATAAAAAGAAAACAAGAGCTAAACACGTGCCTGCTATCTTATCTAATGTGCAGCTGCTGCTCTTTTGCACTTTCTATTTGCTTTTTGTTTTCTTTCTTTTGGGATTGTTTCAAATATCAGCTGACTAGTTTTATGCATTATTACTAAACTAAGAGCTATATAACTTGATGTTATCAGCCTAGACATGATTTATTTCAAATATATATTTAGCTCATCAATAGAGAAGATATATATGTATACAGCATCAATATAGCTTCATTTATATAATGTCCATTTCGATGCATTTGGCTATCAGCTGCGGGCAGCTAAAGCGACCAAAGTACTCCCTCATATAGTATATTTACATATGTATATCTGAAATGGAATAGAATGTATAATGTAAGCACAATTTGCTAGGGGTAAGCAATTTGTTGTTAGCCGTAGTACACACTGTAACTGTAGCACAACTCTGAACAGTTGCCTCCTCCGAGTCGCATGGATAAGTACGCATTTAGTTACACAACGCCGGAGACAAGATGAATCCAACCGAGGGCTAAACGTTCTCTACATGCGACTCTATTGCCTAGGTAATAAATGCCCGACGACGATACAGTTCACAGCACATACTTGGACACACACACACACACGCACACACACGCATCTAGACATGTGTGAAGTGTCAGTGACACGAAACTGATGCAAAAGCGCAACAGCCATGGTAACTGCGCCAGTGCCCCCAAATGAGTTAGTCAGGAAATTGCATTATTTGTCTTTGGCTGTTGTTGCGGGCAAAAACGTAGCGCCACCACTCACCCCTCACCCCACCCACCTTTGAATTCCACGCGCTTTGCGCCTGAGGCCAAGTGCTGCCCAGTTTTAAAACGGGCTCCGGCTATCTCCGCTGCGACACTGTGCTGTCACACATGCGAATTTCAAATACGCTCTCCAAGTCACAGCAATTTTTCTGCACCATTTCCGGCTGCTGGTGCAGTTGCAGCTGCTATTGCCGTTGCTGCTGCTGCTGTTGCTGTTGCTGCATTTTAATTGCTTGGCTTGGTGTGCCGCCTGGGCCATTAATCCTGCACAAGTTGTGCACTGGAGCTACGAAAAGGGATTTTTAAAGTCACAATTGTCGTATGTTATCAACACACACAGACACAGACACACACACACATTCACACAGTGTGAGTGGACAGTCGACTTTGGCGTCGAGAACTTGGCCTGTAGTTAAGGGCCATGAAGCTGTCGCAACGGTGCTCAGATTTAATTGAGTTTGCAATGGTTTTGCGGCCTGGGCAACTCGAGAGTTTTGCAACTTATGCATTTGAATTGCCGGCCAACGAGCTGCCCGAACTTTGGCACAACAGCCAGCAGCCAGCAGCTAGAGGCCCGGAGCTAACAGTGCGCAGTCAACGGCAGACAACTTCCGTTTCCGCACTTTGACGGACACGGGTCAGCGCAGTTGTTATTTTAATTACGCTCGTGTGTGTGTGCCCGTGTGTGTGTGTGTGTGTGTCTGCGTCAACACAAACATGGCTGCCTGCGACCTGCGCCACAGACAGACACGGCGTATACGCAATGCGCCTAGAAGTATGCAACAATATTTCAGCTGCTGCTGGTGCCTTGAGCTATTTGCACGGCACTTCCTATCGAATAGCCATAATTGGCATTTTTTCACCACTGGGACGGGCTTCTTCTTCACTATGCTTTCCTTTTTCCTGTTTTTGCCTGCACATTCCGTTCTGGAGCGCTGCGACAGCCACTACAGAAGTGAACTTAAGCGGCACCAGCCACAAAACCCTCCCGCTTGCACCCGCTGCCCCTTGCCCGCGTAACGAAGGCAGGAAGCGCCGTCCTTATTGGGTCTACTCTTTGGCTGATTCTCGGCGTGCGCATTCCTTCCAGAGGACATACCAGAGCGGGACTTGTTTGGCTTGGGTGCTCATGCTGCTCGCTGTTAAGTTGGCTTAAACTTTTCCACTTGAATGGCAACGGAAGGTTTTATGCTTCGTCCTATAACCAACCTACCACCCACCCACCCCCCCCTTGCAGCAACCCAGTCTGGTTGCCACATTGTGTTGCAGCGGCGCATGAAAGTATGCAGCATGAAATTTGCTGCGCTGCAACAAATAAATATTTGACCCAACCCCCCGCCCCTCGATGCCCCCTCGCCCGTGCCATCATCTCGGCGCCTTGCATTTGTATTTTATGGCGCCGTTGAATTTATATTTGCACTTAACAAGCGTCAACAACAACAAAGTCCACGAACTATACGCGTCACTGACCAACTAGGCAATACCCTGTAGCAATGCCTTAGCCGAATAGGCAAACTTTCAATGAGATGAAGCAGTGAAATTCACATTTGTTAAAAATTTTTATAAAATATTTATATAAAGTATAACAGTAAGTCGTGCATACCCAATGTACCTGACTACAGGGTATTGCAACTTTGCAGCTTTGTGCACAAAACTTTGTTTGGCTTATTTTTCGGTTACAAATCACATCCGGAATCGCATTAAAATTGCATGCAACAGAAAAAGTGCCACAAAATCGCGTTGTCAGAAGCCAGAAATCAGCCGGGCGCCCAGCATGCTGCCAAAGGTGTTGCAGTTGTGTTACCTGCCACGGCTTACGGCCGTCAACCGTATACAGCTCACAGCCCGCAACTCTCGCCAGCTGCTGTTTATCCAACATTTGCCAGGGGGAGCTGGAGTTGGTGGCTGGCAGTGCCCCCCCTTGCAATTTCAATCGAATGTTCGTGAGACGAAATCACTTCAACGCCTTCGATTTCAATTTCCGCCGCATTTCCAATTTGAGTTTTGTTATTGCATTTGCATTTGTATTGTGCTGTTGTTGTTGTTGTTGCTGTTGCCTTTACTTTATTGCCATTCGATTGTTTTGTACCTACAGTTGTCATCCTCGATTCAGTTGCAATTATTTACGAGTTCCAGGTTTGGCCTACTTTGCCCACTTGGCTGCCAAGTAAATAGTTTCAGTCACACCCAGCTACTATTCCAGCTCATGTCTATTCATATGCAGACTAAATTATACAACTATGTTTACTAGTTTGTGTCAATAACTAAGTTGCAGTTGCAGTTAGCTTAGCACTCGAATAGTTTCCCAGAATTTACAGCTCTGCAGTTGGCTGAGAGTTTCTTCAATGAAATTTCGATTCATATTCTGGAAGTTAACTGAAAATCATTTCAAACATAAGCAGAAGATAAAAAGTCTATCTACTTATCTCATTTCTCAAGTTCACCCTTGGGCTTTTTGTGCTTCTTCTTGTCCATTCCTTCATTTCATTTTTTAAGATCAAACGAACTAATCGGTTTTTTTTGCTTCAATCCAATGTACTGCAGTTTTGTTTTCGCTTAGCTCTTAATTCATACACTCTCCGAGTTTGTAGCTTTCGCTTTGTCAATTCTTCATTTGCTTTGGCGCCTTCAGGTATTTCCTGCTCCACTTTATGCTCTGTCAGCCTCTTTTTTGCTGTCAACTTAAGAATCGGACACGCACTCGGCATATCTTGAGCGAGTTGCTCGCTTTGCATTTTTTCCTGCATACCTTGAGGCCGTGCGCATTTAATGAAGCCAGCCTCGGCCTCTCCCTGGGACGGCATTATGCAGACAGAGTGTATGTGCGAGTGTGTGTGTGTGTGTGTTGGGCAATAGTAGCAGCAGGCACGCCCACTACGATTGGGGTGTGTCCATGTGGCTGAGATCAAAGGAACTCTGCTGGGTGGCCCACTGTGACGTTGAGGCATCAATAACGCATTTGTATTGCATATCACAATCAATAGCAGACACGTGTCTAAGCATCGAGAATGCTGTCCTCCTATACCTCTGTTTGTGTGTGGGCAGGAGTCGAGCCTAAGCTTCGTTACATGTCATTGTAATGGTATCATGCTATAGCAGATTGCTGTTTACCTTGATTTACATAAGCACAAACAGAGACACACCTGCTCGGGGGCGTGGGCATGGGACAGCCGCAGCAGTGCAAACAAACTGTTCAGTCGCAGTCGGTGGTGCAGCGGTGGTGCTCAGCGGTGCTCAGCGGTGCCAGCAACGAGGACGCAAGTATACGTATACACTTAAGCATGCACTTAGACTTTGCGCCTTTTACTTCAGCTCGTGTCGATGTTGACATCGATGTCTATGCATGGGCGTGAATAAGCACATTGTTCATATGTGTGCGTGGCGTGTGTGTGTGTGTGTGTGTGGTATGTCTGTGGTGTGTGTGTGTGTGTGTGCGATAAATGCAAATTTGTTTGCCAGCTGCCGCCTTGGCACACATACACACACACGCACACACACATACATATATACACAACAGCAGGAAAATGAGCCAACGCCCGCTGACGAGTATTTTGTTAACAGTTTTTCCATTTTCTTTATTTTGCGCTTTTCTTTTGCCACCCAGCAAGCAAATAGAGCTATTTGCATGCGCACCTAAATCGATTTGTATGTGTATCGAATTGTGGGCGCTCCAGAAACAATAAACTGCCTCGGCGCAGCTGTTACGGCCCAAATCAGCCAGAAGGCTGACGCCAACTTCGCCTGGGGCAAAGTGCAGCAAGCATTAAACTGTATTCAGCCAAAAAGTTTCACCTGTTTACGTTCGACTCGTCTCAAATTACAAACTTGATCTGCATAGCGCCGACATATGACTAACTACTTATGAAATCTTATACACAAGACTTTTATTTCAGTTCAGTTCAGTCAAATTGAATTGAATTTTAGAAATGCATGGAAAAAGTAATATTTATGTAAAAGAAATTTGAAAAGAATGTTTCTTCATATACATATTTTGTTTATAATAATAATCATTTAAGATTTTAATAAATGTATTAAATATTGAAGTAATAACATTTAAAATTAATTATTATTAGTATATTATAAATATGATATATTATATATAATATTTTGATATAATGTAAATTTATTATATACAATTATATATATTATATATATATATATATATATATATATATATATATA